TGCAGGTGACACTGACTGAGAAGGGAGGCAAGAGGGAGAAGGGATTTAGAGAGATCAAGACCACCCAGCCAGCAAGTGGCAGACATGGGGCTAGAACTTGGATGTTCTGATCCTCAGGCCAGTATGTTAGGACCTGTGAGAACAATTTCATTAAGAAAAAGAGTTTGAGAGTTTGCTGGTTAACATTTCATTACGCTTGATGTATGAATCAAGATTTTCTTGAGAAACAGACCAACAGGCTATGTTGTATATGTTCATCCATGAGACAGACAGGTAGGGACCACAAGTTTTAGTGGCTTAAAACAACACAAATATATTGACCTATAGCTCTAGAGGCCAGAAGTCTAAGACAGGTGGTTGGATTGCCATTTTTTTCACAGAGGTGCTGAGGAAAATCTGTCTTCTACATCCTAGAGGCTCTGGTTCTCTCCTCAACCCCTCCCCATTCTCTCTCCCCTAGTCTCTATCTCTGTTTTTGACATCTCAGTATCTTCAAGGTAGGCCAGCAGGCTGGAGGCCCAGAGTATTGCTGGCCTTCCAGCTCAAGTCCACAGGCGGTCTGACAGCAGAATTCCCTCTTGCTGGGGGAGGACAGTCTTTTTTCTCTTAAGGCTTCTGCCTGATTAAACAAGGCCTACCCTCATTATGGAAGGTTACCTATTTTACTCCAAGTCTACTGACTTAAATGTTAATCTCATCTAAAAATACTCTCAGAAATATCTAAAATAATGTTTTAACCATGGCCTCCCCCCAGCAAAGTTTTATGAGACACATAAAATCTGCCACCAAACTTAACATTCGTGATATCAGGCTGTGTGTGTGTGTGTGTGTGTGTGTGTGTGTGTGTGTGTGTGTGTAGTCTATATAGTTCACAGTTAGAGAAAGGTAGAGGGCCAAGATTTACAGTGTGCTAATCCACAGCTAAGGGCTGGGAGGCAATTCAAACAAGGAAGAGGAATCAGGACTGTCAAGGGAAGTGGGCCAAGGAGGATCCACGAAATAGTGTGGGGCCCCTCACAATGGATCGCAGAGTGGGTACTGAGGCCTGTGAGAGGAAGAAGCTCTTCTGCTCACGAGCGGTGGCAACCAGTGTCTGGCAGGGGAGCTGACCAAGCAGGGTGAGGTAAAACAGAAAAGGGGCTGTAATGCCAAGCATTTGGGGATCCTCTCAGCTGGAGGAGTCAGGAAATGGCCTTCTAACAAGCAGTGTTCAAACTGGGCCAGGTGGGAAGGAAAGGACAGCCCATGTGAAGAGCTGTGGGAAAAGGAAGCCAGGAGATCTGTGCAAAGGTCCTAAAGTGAAAAAGAGCTGAGAATTATCAAAGAATCAAAAGAAACACAGTGGGCTGAGGGAAGAGAGAGAGAGAGAGAGAGGGAGAGAGAGAGAGAGAGAGAGAGAGAGAGAGAGAGAGAGAGAGAAACAAAGAGACAGAGACACAGACAGAAAGACAGAGAGAGAGAGAGAGAAAGAGAGAGAGAGGTGTTACATGAAGCTGAAGGGATATGGCCTTATAAGGGATGGTGTTTGGATTGGATTCTAAGTGGAATGGAAAATCACTGGAAAGTTTGGGCAGGGTGATGGGATCTGCTTTGATTTTCAGAGTTGGCTCTGGCTATCGTGTGTGCCTGCATTGGGGGGCAGTGGCCACAGGGGATGAGGGGGTGCTATGCAGGTAAGCAGCAAAGATGTCTGGGAGCAGACGCAGTGGGAAGGGAGGTTGAGGAAAGGGGCTGGAGGTAGAGTCACCAGTCAGAGCCTGCCAATAGAGTAGCCTGGAGAGACAAGAAAGGGAAGAGAAGGAACGGCCACCCCCAGTCTCCTGCTCTATCAGCTTCTTTGCTGGTTACCAAGAGAGGAACATTGGGGAGGAAGAAGTTCTATATTGGGATCAGGAGTTCAGTTTTAGGGCTAGGGTGTAGCTTAGTGTGAAAGCACTTGGATAGCATGTGTGAGTTCCCGGTACCACAGAAAAGAAAAGGGGGCGGGGAGCTTAGTAGTAGGCCAGGAAATTGGCAGACTCACTTTGGGCCATCTCAGCTGTCTTGATGATGACTAGGAGTGAGGAGGCGGTGGCCTTCATGGCTGGTGGGGCACAGCAGGAAAGTCTGCAGACTTCCTGGAATAATAGCTTTTCTTGGAATAACAGTAATGACCACAGAATTCTTCAAAAACCCCCAGTGCTGAGAGTTCTACTGTTGTCTGTGAACACCTGCCCCCAGGTAACTCATGTACACCTTACCTGGCCTAAACTACTTGTAGTGGCATCCGGACTGCTTTTGTTCATTGGTGGGTATGTCATCTCATAACTCTTAAAAACAGACAGCTAGCTGGACATGGTAATATGTGCCTGTAATCCCAGCTACTTAGGAGGCCAAGGCACAAGGATTGTTTGATCCCAGGAGTTTGAGACCAGCCTAGACAGCATAGTGAAACTCCATGGTGGAAGGTAGGGTGAAAAAGGCTTAGAGGGAGAGAGAAAATTGTTAATGGGCTCAGTGGGTGAAGATATGTGGCAGCTGGAGCTCCTGCAGTCATCCTGTGCTCATGAAAGCAGCAGTTGACATACTGCAGATGACTGAACGAAAATATAGGAAAGACCTAATTACTGTTATTTTGTGATGCTGGACATCAAACTCAGGACTTCACCCATATTAAGCAAGCACTCTACTACTGAGCTCTACCCCCAGCTCGAAATCTGATTCTTAATGGGATAATTGAGCTTCCAGATCATTCCTACATAAGCCCTTTTTGACACGAGATAATAAATCTCTATTGCGTAAGCAATTTTGAGTTGGTCTTCTTTTGCTTGTAACTGAAAGTATCATTGATACAGTGACAATGCAGGTAGTAAACAGTCCTTGCCTGATAAAAGATGACACAGTATGAGGCTTTTGATCTTCTAAGAATGATGATCTAGGCTTAGGTGAGTCGTGACAGTGATTTGGGATACCATCTGAGCAGGACCACAGGACGACAAAACTTATAGTCCTGGCTGGAGGTTAGAGGGTTCAGTTCACAAAACAGATTTACTATGTCATTGGAGCTGACATCATGATGATAAATCAGACCCAGTTCCTGCCCTTCAGAAACTTCTAGTACAACAGAAGAAATACACACAGGCTAATGAAGATGTGGTCTATAGAAAGTCCATAGGCTGACTTGCAAGGTGGTCAGATAAAACTTCATGTAGGTGTTTTAAAGGATGATAAGAGAAAGGTCAGGGAAGAAGACATTGCTGGGCAGAATTAACAGTATATACAAACTCAGGGCAACATAACTTCATGGGGAAACTATAAATTGCTTGGAATATCCTGTACTGGTCCAGGCACTTTCTAGGTTGTGCATCTCTGTGGACTTTACTGGATGTCTTGAAGGTTCAGCATTCCATATTCAAGAAAAAGTGACTGGAGGAGGAAAAAAAAAGAAGAAGAAAAATACCAAAATGGTTGCAAAATTAGATAACAGAATAAATACGCAAAGCACAGCGTTTGGCATATATTAGATGCACAAGCAAAGCTCCTTATTATCCACCCATTACAGTCACATGGTTCTAATTCCCTAGCTGCGTGGACCCAGGTGGCTTTCTTCCCCTCTTCACTCATTCCTCAGCCTAGTAGCGAGGCCCCTCATCTCCCACAGACTTTTCCTCAGGCAGGAAACCCGAGCCCACTGCCTGGCCCAAGACACTTCTAGGGCAGCGTGGTTTGTGTTATTTCTTCTCTCTCTTTCTCTTTTTTCCCTAAATGCAACAAAATAAAACCAAACAAAAGCCCAACGCCTGGCGTGGCTTGTCAGGGAGTTATGCAAGTGTGTAAAAAAAAATAAAATAAAATAAACACTGAGTTTTCGGCATTTGGGCTGTTTGATTAGGCACAAAGCGGAGCCAACGGATGGTTAGACACAGGGAAGGCTCAGGGCAGAGCCGAGAGGGCGGGGCTGGAGGGGGCCCTGGAGCAACTCGGAAATGGCTATTTGCCTCCTACAAACCTGGCAAGGCTTGCTGATGTGCACTGTGCATTTGGGATCCAAGGACTCCACTTTCTCTGGCTATCTACTATCCTGTTTCCCCGGCCATCACACACTCCCGGGGCCATTCCATCCATTCCCCTGTCACTGTAAAGGACCCTGTGCCCTGGGCTCCATAGTCAGGGATCTCCCCTTCCCTCCAAAGGAGATTGCACAGCCTGTCTTGATTACTCACCCCCCACCCTCCCCACAATCAGCTCATCTCTTCTGCTCCAATTTAACAGCCACCAACTGCAGTTGTAGCTCATCTTCCTTCATCCACTCTGAAGTGAGGCAGGAGCACAGCTGTTTGCCACTGGGGGAAGCCAGTCTCCCTCCTCCTTCTCCAGGCTTGACTTCTCAGCATCATCTGGGTCACTGCAGGTGTCTGCAGCCCTTCAATCCTCATCTCCAAACATTTATGAAGTTCCTACCACTAACCAGGCACTTACACCCTTCATTTCGATGAACCCTTAAAACTGAAGCCGGAGGCCCAGAGAACTTAAGTAACTCTGGCGTGTGCGCATAGCTGCTAAGTGACGGTGTCGGGATTTGACTATAGATTGTATCTGTTATTGCCTTCAAGTTTATGTGTCCTTACCTGGGTGCCCAGGATCTTATTACCCTGCTATTTCTTCTGAACTGGGAAGATGCTCTGAAAATTTGACCCTGAAGGGGAGTAACTCTCCGCGTTCCCGATGAGGGAAACACATTTGGCGAGGGTCCTGGGTCCTGTTCCGACCTCAAGATGCAGAGTTGTGCAGGTTCGTTGACTGCTTGAAATCCCCCAAGGGCCTGCGCCGGGGTCCAGGGAACTTGTCCCTGTGCCAGCCTCTCTCTCCAGGCGCAGCACGACAGCTCCGGGCAAGGGAGTGCGGGAGGGGGCTGCGGACTCCCGGGCCCTGCGCTCCAGTCCGTTTTTTCTTGTGGATCCCAGGAAGGGGGGCCGGCTGGGGGTGGGACCGCGAAGGGGGGATTCCCTCCCGCGTGCGAGCGCGGACTGGCCCCTCTCCGGGCTGGGCGCTCCGGGCGGCCGAGCGGAGGCGCGGCGGAGACACGAGCCCGGAGCGGCGAGCCGGAGTGGGGCCGTGGCCCCTGGCCCTGCGGACATCGAGGGCCCCTGAGAGCCATCCCCAAGGACCGATGCGCCGGGTGGGGCGCTGCCCCCGAAGGCGAGGGCGAAGGCGAGGGAGAGAGCCGCCCGCAGATTGAGCAACTTGGGAACAGGCAGGAGGAGCGCGGGCGAGCCGGGCGCCCAGGACGGTCCCGCGGCCGGCCTCGCCTTCGCCCACCCGGGCTTGACCCGCGAGGCTGGCAGCGCGAGGTGAGTCCCCTCTCTGCTGCCCGGTGCCCTTGGCACCGATGCCCCTTGCCCAGGGACGCGGGCGCCGCGGTCCTTCCGTCGGGGTTTGGCCGAGCTGGGTTAGGGGGAGATAGACACGGGGAGCCCGACTTTCATCCAGCTTAGGGAGCACCTCCTAGATCCCCTCCTCCGAATCCTGCCCCTCCAAGCATCCCGCAGGCCGAGCCAACGACAAGACACCTCCCTTTGCTGCCTCGGTCCCCCTTGAGCCCTTGGCTCGCGCGTATCCCGAGTCGCCGGCCCTATCCGACATCCCTTTAGTGCAGACACTAGTCATCTCTGCTCTCACTGCCTCGGACACCTTGCCCTGAGCCCGTGGTCCCTGGGGTCCCTCTGTCCCAGTCCCGCTGCTTGGGCCGGGGTCCGACGTGGCAGGCAGCGTGTGCAGAGGGGCGCACGACTCCCAGGCCCGTGGGTCGCTCTCAGAGCAGCGGACTGTACTGCCGGGTTGGGGGCGGTGTGGCCCGGCATTCGAGCATAGCACGGATGGAGTTGGGGTGCGGCTGCTCGGAGGCAGGGGTTTCTGGGAAACTGGCCTCTCGGCCTCAGAGGGCTCTCTTGGACCTTGGACTTGGAGATGGATTGATTTCAGGGCGGGTTCACCTTGGGCACCTGTCCTGGCGTCCCCAGGTGCTGGGGTCAGAAGAGGAATGTGAGCCCTGGGGCGGTGATGGAAGGGTGCGAATGAGCCTTATGGCGTTGCCTCGGGTTTAGGGACCGGCTCCAGCACCCAGCCCCGGCTCTGCAGAGCTGATCCCGAGGACCATAGGTCAGCCGGACACCTACTTAGCCCCGTGATTCCTTTGGCCCCACAGGCAGCCTGTTCTGCGACCTCTATTCTCCAACCCATGGCGCATCCGGGGATCGCTAGTGAGAAATTATCTGGACGGTTTACATTTTGGGGTCTGTATGCTTCCCAGGATAGAGTACCGATTTATCCTGATAGTATTAAAGGCAAGAAGGTTAAAATGTTCCATCTCTGTCTTAGGACTGAGCCTGGCCCTCGGCTCCACCCCCAGCTGTGTCCCCCTCCCCAGTGTGTGGCTTCTCTCCCACCTTGCCTCTTTTTGGTCCCTTGTCTGTTCTGCCTGACCCCAGCCCCTTCACCTGTGAAGCTTCTGTCTTCAAGTGGTGCTCCACAATCAGCTCCCTGTGCCTGCCCACCCTCCTGGCCTGGAACCACAGAGAACTTGGTTTTTTTTTTTTTGGTACCTGGGATTGAACTCACACACACACTTGCAAGCCAGGCGCTTATGCCGCTGAGCTAAATCCCCAACCCCAAGAGAACCTTGTTCTTTCTGGGCCTCATTTCTACCTTCATCCTGCCTGCAGTTGTGGTGCAGTAAATGCAGCATAGCAAGGGGCAGGGATAAAGGCACCTTGGAGCAGTGATCCAAAGCAATACTGAGCCATTGTTTTTGCCTGCAGTCAGCTGGATTGAGTAGTTGTGTTCCCTTTACATAGGGTATTTGTCCTGCCATCTGCCCGTTCCAGCTCCAGCTTGGCTGAGATGGATGTTCCTTTGCAGCACTGATTCTTCCCCTACCCCCCCAACAAGTGCTGGAAACTGTTATTATCCCAGAGGTGAGGGAAGCCAGTGTCACTTGCTCCAGCGAAATTCACATCTGGATCCTCCTCTCCATTTGCCAGCTGTGATCTTGGTTCCCTGGTGATTTAAGTAGGAGTGGGTCAACCTGGGACAGAGGCTGTATGATTGTGGCAGGGACCAGGCTGACAGCTGGAACCTGGGGATGCTGGAGCTTGCATTTGTTGAGTACACACCCTCATCCCAATAGGCACAGAGTACAGAGACCTACTCTGCTCAAGGACCCTAGAGAAACTAATCACACAGTGATACCTATGTTACAGACCCAGGGTTAATTCCAAGTTTGTCTGATGCAGTGTTTGTGAAATGTAAGGACTGATGGAATGGATCTGCCAGGGTCTGCTACCTCATCCTGACAAATGCTACAGTTGGAGGTAAATCCTGTCTCTCCCATGCCAAGGAAACTGACCACAAAGATAAATGCAAACATGGAAATTGCATGCCAGTGCTCAGTATTAAGTTGGTGGGAAATGGTATGTTGATATGGGAAATGGTATTGTTGCTTTTTAAGTGGCCATAGGAATGAAAGAAAGGCAGACAGAAAGCCTTGGTCATATGAAATACCACAGATATATTATTTAAAGCTCATTCGACTATATACGAGCGCCAATTGGAGCAGACTCACATGATACCTCATTTAAGCTATAAAGAATCAATTCTCTTGCAGGTAGGGAGACATCAGCTCAACTAAGCTACTAACCCAGGGTAACACAGCTGGTAAGGAGCAGAGCCAGCAGTTGAAGTCAGGCAGTCCGATTCTGACGTTTATTCTGGTGATCACCTCTGAGACAATGTACTTGGGGCTGGAGACCCCAGTGTAGTAAACTCAGCTGAACATCAGTAATCTGTGGGTGGTGAAAGAGTGTTGTGGGGGCTGGGAGGCTGGGAAAGCTTTGGCAGGTCATGCAAGGAGTACTGGAGAGGCACGCAGGGCTTGGCACTGACAGGGCATTTGGGGGTGGCTGGGGGCATCTCTGCTAGCTCCAGCCATAGCACCAGGTGGGACCCATCAGCCTCGTGTAAACACTTCTCACAGGCAGCTTAACCACTTGAGTGTGGCTGGCCTTCAAAGCTGGTGGGAGAGGCCGAGGGAGGGAGGCACATAACTCCCTGGGGGGATAATGATTTATCTCCTGTGCAGGTGGACTCCACTGGGGCCTCTTGGAGGGGTGAGGGGGCGAACTGGGCACTTGGGAGCTGAGGGGGAGAAGAGTAGGACGGAGCGGAGGAGTACCTCCAGCTCACATCGCAGCTTTCCCATTAGGAAGCCAACACTCAGCTGACACACTCCATAAGCCTGTGCAATAGTCATGCCTCCTATCCCCATTTGCTAGATGAAGAGACTGAGGTTCAGAGAGGCTGGCTGACCTGTTCAAAGGCCACTAACTGGCAGACAGGCAAGCAGTGCTTCCTTAGGTCCATCACGCTTCCTGTGGTATGGGCCAAATGCTTACTGTTTTCACAGGCCACTGGACGGGCAAGCCTGGGCAGGCCTCTTTTGAGGGTGGGTATCATGGGAGTGCCAGAGAGTAAATGTGTGATTTGGAGCAGAGGTCCTGTCCTGGCTCCAGGTGGGGCTCTGAGGCTCAAGCATCCAACTTCCCAGACACATCTGGCCAGGGAGGGGCCGGCTCCCCTGCTCCCATCACCCCAGCCGCTGGGTCCCGAGCCCTGGCTTTCATGGGGCTGAGGGATTATCGCCATTCTCTGTGTCTCTGGCCAGGGCGGGCATTGCTGCCTCTTTTATCCCCTCACAAAGGCCAGGCCCACCAGGCCTGCTGTGTCAGAGTTTCTGTGCCTGGGATGGGGGGTGGGGGGGTTACTTCCTTTCCTCCCGCCAAGCGCAGAGGGCCATGCAGAGTCTGCCAGCTTGCTGGGGGGCCACTCTTTAGCTCCACAACAGGTGAGGAACACATGGATGACTCAGCACTGGGAAGAGAGCTCCTCTTCAAATGACAGGCTATCACTGCAGCATGAGGTTTGTAGGGTAGACTTAACGAAGGACTTCCAGGGTGAGCTGGCGGATATTAGCCAGGGTGGGGCCAGCTGGCTCCCATTATTGATAAATCACCAGCAATTCATAAGTCTGGCTCCAGCGTTCACCATATTCCAGGGACTCGAAGAATTCTGTGGGTGAGAACAGGAGCTAATTCCTTCCCCAGGGATACCAGGTGGGTTATTTGTAGAGTCTGGTCATTCTGGGCTCTCCCAGACTGACTGGAGAAACCCAGGGGAAGGTTTGAAGCCTGGGTTGGAGGCCCAGGCTATACTAGAATTAATCCTTCTCTCTCCCCTTCCTTCACAGGTTGGTTTTGGGGCTGTCTGTTGCAGTGATGAAGATCTCCCATGTGACACTCAGAGGAGGCTTTGAGGAACTCTGCCTTTGAGGACCCTTGGTCTGGGCCGATGGACCCTCTCTGTCCACGGTTGAGATTTTGGTGGATTTGGGCTGTGGCCTAGGCCTGAATCTCCTGCTGCTGACCTAGCCTTAGAGGCACTAGCAAGAGCCCGGCACCACCCACTGCCCCCCAGGGACCACCCCTCCTGCCGGGGGCCGGAGCTGAAAAGTGACTATGCGGCTTGGGCTCTATGTGGTGGCCCTGGTTCTGAGCTGCCAGCACCTCACCGCCAGCAGCCGAGGGCTCAAGGGGAAGAGGCAGAGGCGGAGTGAGTAATGGAGTGGCTGGGACCACCAATGGCCTTGGCAGTGGGAGAGGGCCACCTGGGGGGCCTTGGGTAGTGTCATTCTGTGATGACCATCACAGTCTTCTGCTCTGTCTACTACAGCTTTGTAGGTTTTGCAATACATTGTTCTGCCTGTGGAGTATTCAGTTAGTGAATTGATTTGTCGAGATTATCTACACTCTGTCTGTTTTCCCTTTGTAAACTGCTTTCTGGATTAACCCCTCTCTTCTGAGGATCCAGTTTGCGGATTATGCCCTTTGACATAGCATCAGCTTTGTGTGGTATCCATGGCAGTGCTTTCGGGAGGGCTTCCCTCCCTAGTACCCTTCGTTCCCTCTTCACTGGCTCCCGGGTTCAGGTCTCCTAAAGTGTGGTCCCTCTGGACCAGCAGCCCTGTACAGGGAGTAATGGGCAACAGGGCTTTCCCTGCCTAGAGCTTAGGCAGAAATAGTGGCACAGGGACAGTTCAAGATTCTCCATCCGTAGCTTTTCAAAAGGCCCAGTGGGATATGAGGAACCACAGTGGGGTGCTGGGGAGGCAGGCAGGCTGCACTCCTGGGTAGCTTTGTTTTCTCTGCTTTCAGGAGGGAGCCTCCACAGGAGGTACCAGTGGGAGAAAGAGGTCTCCTTTCAAAAGAAAAATAAATTCTATTATTGTAGACATGAAGAAAGGGGGAGAAATGGGCCTGAGGACACACAGTCAGAGTTGGAACTCAGGTCTCCTGATGCCTGTAAACCCTGCTTTTTCTTTTCTTTCTTTCTTTCTTTTTTTTTTTTTTGGTACCGGGACTCAAACTCATGACCTCGTGCATGCCAGGTAGGCACTGTACTATTGAGCTATATCCCAGTCCTTGTTTTCTTAAAAACATAGCTTGACGTATTTCAAGATTAACCTGCCAGACTCCCCTCCCCATACATTCCTTACCTTTTGCTTAATAGCTCCGGTGATGGAGCCTCTAGGTAATGGGAGTGGCTACTGTGTGCCAGGGACCCTGTTAGGGGTTGGGGAGGGGCCGCTGGACTCCCAAAGATGCCTTTTAACATTCCCATTCCCAAGGTTCCCAGAATGGGAACTGTCACATGCACAAATGGGGAGTCCCTCAGAAGTCTCACCAGCTCCCTCCTTTACATTTCCTCAGACTGATGCTCCTGAGAAGGTTGACAGGCATTGCTTAGCCAAGGCCAGAACTCAGCCCAGGGAGAGAGGCCCAGAGAATTGATGAAACTGAAAATCCCGAGCTTAACAATTACTTCGGTTTAATCAGCAGTGAGGCCTTGATTTTCCTCTGTTGTGGCGAGTATTTTGCCAGATGTTGTTTAGTGCTTTGTAATCAATCTGCTCTATTTCCAAAATGAGAGGGAGAAAGAGATAGGGGAGGGGAGAAGAAAGGGACAGGGGGAGAAAGGAGAGAGGGGAGGAGAGAGTCACCATACTTGTGACATGCACAGGTGATTTACATGTGTAGGACCACATCACCTAAACCAGGGGCCATAAGACCTGGGTCAAGTCTGCTGAACTAGAGAAGAAAAGAGAAGTTCTAAGTGTACCTATAAGGACCTGCTTTCAGCAGTGGCCAATCCAGCAGAAATTTTGATTGCTCCCTCTTGATATAGCCCCATCTAGGCAGCTTCAGCAGCATGCAAAGTGTTGTCATTGCCAAGTGGTGTGAGTGACCATCCTTGATGGTTACAGTCAAGGACAGGGGAGAGATGGAGACAGACTTGGGCATAGTGAGGGTCCAGAATGGACAGAAGCTCAGGGAGGCAAACCAGTGTCTGCCAGTAGGCAATCTTTGTTACTTAATATCCATAAAACCACAGCCATTGGCCAGACATAGTGGTGCACACCTGTCATCCCAGCACTCAGGAGGATGAGGCAGGAGAATCACCGTGAGTTTGAGGCCAGCTTGGGCTACATAGTGGGTTCAAGTCCAGACTAGATTATATAATGAGACCTTGTCTCAACAAACAAAAAAACAGCAACAAAAACCACACAATCATCAAGCTGAAATGTAATTTTACAGGAATACAGTAAGACTTGCATGAGACAATGGATCTATATTTGTTCATTTGTCTGAAGTGCTGGGTATTGAACCGTCACACATGCTAGGCAAATGCACTTTGCCACTGAGCTACATCCCCAGGGCAAGATATGTATTTTTAACAACCTGTGTGAAGCATCAAGCTCTTTGTAGACTTCAGGATGCAAGTTCTGATTTAAGTAAACACTGTGTGGACTGTTTCACCTGAGGATTTTAAGGGAAGCGGGGAAGACAGAAGGAGACCGAGACACTGTGTGTGGCTGCTGTGGCCTCTCACAGAGTGGAAGGTCACTGGGCAGGTTGGGGCCTCAAAGCTCAGCTTGCTGTGTGACATCCATTGACTGCAGGTCAGGGGGACCCACAACTCTGACCGTCAATTCTGTACCACTTATGGACTCAGAATGTGAGCGGAGCACTTACTCTGGCTATGAATTATGAAGGCTGCAGCAAGGCTGTCCTTTATCCTCCACTTATCCTCCACTCCTCGGGGACCCCAACCTGAACCCCTCTTCCTGTACCTAGCTTCTTCACTCCTTCTGCACCTCCTCCTGAACCCTCACACTCCTATCCCTTGCACCGAATATTCCCTTCCTGGGCAAGATATTTCTTCTTTCAGCCCTGCCCTCAGAGTCCCCCATTCCTTCCTTGAGCCCCAACTCCTCCAGATGCTGGGATTGCCCCTTTTGCCCCTCTGACTGACCCTCTTCCACATGGAGCTGGCATGTCTCCTACAGTGACCACCCTCACAGTCCCTCTCCTCCCCAAACTCCTGTGCATTGCTTGGGTCACTCAGCAAACATCCACCACAGCCAGCACAGCCAGGTCCTAGATTGCAAAGGCAAATCTTGAGGGTCTCTTGGCGGTGGGGAGAGGCCACTCAATCAGTGTTATGATCATTGCCACAAGAAGAAATGAAGGACCTGAGAGAGCCCAAAGGAGCTAGGGGGAGGACCAGGGCACAGCTAGGAGTAGCTGGGAAATGACCCATAAATGGGATTCTAGGGAGCCCTAGAGTTTTCCTGGACCAGCTAGCTCTGCTTCTATCTGGCTTTCACACTGGGAATCTTTTGCATTGGCAAGAAGTAGTCTGCCGTGAAAGCTGGATATCAGCACCTGTTAGGATGGAGTTAGTCAGGCCTAATGGGGCTAAGCTAAGAGGCTGGGGACAGGACCTGCAGACCTGGACAGAAGTCAGATAGTTATATACCCTTTTACTTACCAGACTGAGAAGGCTGGGCCTGTTCTGAATTCAACTGTGGATGACAAGGAGCCATGCAGAAATTTCATTCTGAGGGCACACGGTCCAGCTGCAGTCAAGTATTGGGGAGTACCTGGACAGGCAGGCTAGGCCCTGGAGAGAAACAGTGAGCATCTCAGCTTAGTTAAAGAATACTGGGTTGGGGCTGGGGATTTAGCTCAGTGGCATAAGTGCCTGCCTTGTAAGCAGGCAGTCGTGAGTTTGATCCCCAGTACCGATAAAAAGGAAAAAGACCAAAAAAAAAGAGAGAATACTGGGTCTTCCCAGCGAGGGCAGACACAGGGCTTTTTTGAAGGCCCAGGGATGACACATCTCCCAAGAAAGGGCCTTCCTGACCCTTCATCTGTCTGATCCTGGGGTCCCACTCCCTGTTTTCTTTCCCATCAACTCAGGTCTCTGGCATTGAGTTTGGTTCCTCCAAAGCTGGATTCTACCCCCACAGCCAAGGTCATCAGTCCCTGGGTGGTGGACAGCCCTCTCCATCCTCCACCGAACTTCACACAACCCACCGTGGGGCCCCAATTGCCGTACAGTTCCACACCCCATACTTTAGCCAGCACACTTTCCATCCTGTCCTTGAGCCTCTGTTCACACCCCCAGTCCTAACAACAGGAGGCCCCACCCTTTTGGGAGTTTCTCACCCCTTCCCTGGGCTCCCATTCAGAAATAAAACAGTCTCTGCCCTCCAAAGCTCTTTCCAGTGGGAACAGAAGATATAGTAAGAGATACTAACAATATGAGGTGATGTCTGCCATGATAGATTTCAGTACCACAGACATGGGGATTTGAGATATACACCACCCAGACTTGCAGGACAGATGGTAAGATCAAGAAAGACTGCCTAGAGGAGGTGATTTTAGTTCTGACGCTTGAAGGAGGTAGTCAGGCTTAGGAGGAAGCAGGTTGTGGTAGGCAGAAGGACCAACTTGAGCAAAGACACAAAGGTGTGAAATAATATGTGTCCAGAGAAACAAAAGTATAAACTACTTAGACATTGCACTGAGAGATGAGATGCGTAGGATTAGCTCATGAAAGCTTTTTAGGCCTGGCAAGGAACTGGATCTTAATTCTGCAGGTGATGGGCAGCTATGGATGGATTTGAGGCAGGGCTGCAACACCATCTACCTTCCCAGTTAAGAGATCCCTAAAGATGATTGGGGAACTGGAAGAAATAAAGACGGGGAGGAGGAAGCTGTGAACCAGATTCCATTCCTTGGAGAGAGACCAATTGAGCCTTGCAGCTGGGCAAGGCCTCATCAAAGCCACAGCAACTAGAAAGGGTTTTAAACTTGAAAGATTGTTGGAGATGGGAGGCAAGAGGGACCTCTGGAAAACACAGCTCTTCCTCATTTGCTCAGGAAGAAGGGAAGAGAAGCACAGTGCAAGTGGGTGGGGAAGCCCAAGCTGTGTAAGAGGGCGCCTGCACGTGCGGGCCTGCGTGCCTGCCTGTGATGAGCGCCAATAGGAGGCCCTTTCCCCTCTCTGAGAGACTCTGGCCCTGCAGGGCCACCTTCCAGCAAGGCCCTGCAGAGCACCACTCCACCCTAAAAAAGCAGCAAGAGGGATTTTGCTTAGCTGTCAGTCTAACCCTCCTTCCAAGGTCCTATTCCTCACCAATACCATACGGCCCTGTCTTCTTCTCCATGAAGACCCTAAGGTGTTAGTGCCTCGGCCCTTTGCAC